ACTGATATATTTACTAATTGTATTTTCCAGGGTTCTATTATAACGCTCCACAAGACCATTGCTTTGTGGCCTAAATGATGTAGTCCTTGTTTTGTCAATTTTTAATTTAGCACAAAGTTCCTTGAATAAACCAGACTCAAATTGTCTCCCTTGATCTGAATGCATTTGACAAGGTACTCCAAATCTACAGAAGAAATGGCTAACTAAATTATCAACTATGGTAGTAGTCTCCATGTCTGGCATGGGATACCCTTCTACCCATTTAGTAAAATAATCTGTTACAATTAAAGCATATTTTTTACTTTTATATGAAATTGGTAAATGGCCTATTATATCCAAGGCAACTCTTTTCATTGGAGCACCCACATTATATTGTTTCATTTTACTTTTAGCTTTTCTGGGAGGTTGTTTGCGTGAATTGCAAACAATACAGTTTTGCACCCATTTGGTAATTTCGTCTTTATGACCATCCCAATAAAATCTATTTTGTGCTCTGGCTACAGTTTTGTGGATACCAAAATGGCCAACTTGAATGTCATCATGTAACATTTTCATAATATTTTCTTTCCAGATTTCAGGGACTATGAATTGTAAATTACTTTCTTCAGTGGTAGCATTTATCCACTTTCGGTACAACACATTGTTTATCAATACAATGCGATCCCATTGAGACCAGTATTTCTTAAGTTTTACATCTTGTAAAGCCACATCGGCCCATTCAGGTCTGTTATTATTATCAGACTTGAGACGGTATAAATTGAACAACACATTGTCGCTCTTTTGAGCTTCAAAAAGTTTTTGATTTGTTTTATGTTCATACCACAGAGCTGAGTCTGTTTTATTTGAACAAGAGGTCTCTTGAGAGTCCTGCACTTTAGCCATTCTTAAAAAGTCAACTGAAGTTTCATCTGAATTATCAATTTCTTTTTTATCCTGTTTTGAACAATAACTACATGGAAAACATTGTCGGCGAGACAAACCGTCTGCATTACCATGTTGTCGACCAGGACGGTGACGAATTTCAAAATTATATGTGTTTAAGGTTTCAAGCCATCTGGCCATTTGTCCTTCAGGATTTTTGAACTGAGAAGCCATGTTAAAGCTCCATGGTCTGTGCGTACTTTAAAATGTGTACCATAGAGATAGTGATGAAAATGTTTAATGCTTAATATTACAGCCAAAAGTTCTCGTCTTGTTACACAGTATTGTCTTTGCGCTTTACTGAGGGATTTACTACAACCTCTTTGCCTTCATGAATTTGAGAAAGGACTGCGCCGATTCCGAAACCACTAGCATCAGTATCTAATATGAATTGTTTTGTCATATAAGGGTAGCCTAAAATTGGCGGAGACATTAAAGTCATTTGGAGTTTCTCAAAAGCTTCATTACATTCTTTGGTCCAATCAAAAGTACAATTTTTCTCTGTTAATTTATGCAGTGGCCTTGCAATTTCAGCAAAATTTTTAATAAATTTGCGGTAATATGAACATGTTCCAAGAAAACTTCGAACATCTGTCATTGATTTAGGAAATGGCCATGTTTTTACACAAGCAATTTTATTAGGGTCTGTTGCTATACCTTTACTTGAGACAATATGTCCGAGGAAAGAAACTTGTTTCTGAAACAAATTACACTTTTTAGGTAAAACCTTTAGTCCTTGTTGTGGTATTCTATCTAATACATCACTAAGTCTTGATAAATGAGATTCAAATGAATCTTAAAACACTATAATGTCATCAATGTATATTAGACATGTCTGCCAATTAAGGCTAGCGAGAGTATACTCCATTAGGCGTTGAAAAGTGGCAACCCCATTACACAGACCCATATGCATTACATTAAAATGAAATAGCCTTTTTGTACTAGTAAAAGCTGTCTTCTCCTTATCATTCTCGTCCATCTCTACTTGCCAATATCCACTTGAAAGATCAAGTACACTCAGCCATTTAGAGCCTCTCAGAGCATCAAGAGAATCGTCAATGCGACACAAAGGATATGAGTCTTTTATTGTAAGTCCATTTACTGGTCTAAAATCTATACAAATTCTCGTGGAGCCATCTTTCTTAGTCACAGGCACTATACAAGATGCCCAGGGACTTTTTGAATGCTCAATTATTTTACAGTCCAAAAGATGTTGGATTTCTTTATCCACTTCATCCCTTTTTGTTAGGGGTAAACGCCTAGGGGGTTGCTTAACTGGTTTGGCATTACCAGTGTCAATTTTATGTTTAATGGCAGTAGCCCTTCCTCAATCATCTTTATTTTTAGAAAATGTTTGATCATGTCTTTTTAAAAGACTCTCTAACTGATCTATTTGACCCTCATTCAAAAGCTCACTACGGCTAATTTTAAATCTTGTAAAAGACTAGGTAACTCCTTTACTTCATCACACGAACTCAGCCGCCTGAGTTTTTCTGTCCTTGGTTCATTGGAGACTGAACCTATGTCAATAAGTTCACATTTGGCAACATGTGTGAAAGGCTGCATTATTTGTTCATATTTACTTAAATTAACCATTCTTATAGATACTTGACCACAACTGGGGTCCACTAGTGCTTTATCAACTAGTAAAGTCTCAGTATGTTTTGATGGTATTGGTTCAATTATAGCATTCATTATGCTACTTGAATCGCCTTCAACAATTCCTGATATAATAATTTCTGTATTTGGTGGGATAGTAAGTTTGTCACTAAGTTTAATTTTAAACGTTGAACTCATTTGACTTTCTTTTATACAATCTATTCTTGAGTCCTTCAATGTTAGCACCCCATTGCCCATGTCTATGGTACAGTTATTTTTATGTAAAAAATCATAGCCAATTACTGCTGGCACGTCAGTCTCGGCAACAGTAAATTTTTGAATCACTGTATAATTTCCAATTTTAATAGGTAACTCTACATGACCCATTGTATTTACAAAACTACCATCGGCCAAACAAAGCCGCTGGTTATTTCTTTGAATTTCAGGTTTAAATTCAATTGGAAGTAATTCATACTTCCTAGGATGTATAACACAAATTGTAGAACCAGTATCGATTAAACAATTAACAACATTAACAATAAAACATTTAACAAACAAACTGTCTTGTTTATTTGACTTAATTAAACTAATGGACCTCGAGTCTTCTTCTACAGCTGCTGGTGAACGGTCCTTATCCACAGCATTTACCAGTTTCCCTGTCTTTGAAAACTGTTATTTGTGCCGTTAGACTGTGGATTTTGATTATCAAAATTTGGAACAAATTTTCCACTTTTGACACAATTATGTCTTTTGTCCCATTCATATTTTCTGCATTCTTTCTTAATGTGACCCTTATTCCCACAATAAAAACACGTCACCCTACTAAAATTTTGACTTTGATCCATTTGTTCACTTATTTTGTCCAAGCGAGTAACTACATCATGTTCGGCAGAATCATCATTTTCGGATAACATGCGTGTTGCCGGTTTTGCATTATTTAATCTCTTTTGATCAACAGTGAAAGCTTCATATTCAAGACCAAACCGTACACAATCATCGATTGTTTTTGGTTCTCTTTGAAATATTGATAATTGTATTTTTGGATCATTAATTGCACGAACAAAACAGTCTTTGGCTAGTTGATTCCTAATTTCAATAGGTGCAGTCGGATAAGCTTGTCTAGTTACCCTACGAATTTCTTGTGCCATTTCTGGCAAAGTTTGACCAGGCTTTCTATAAATAGAATTCATTTGTACTTTGTACATAACTACTTGATTTGCAGGCTCAAAACGAGATGTCAAAGCAGATACAAGATAGTCATAATTTAACCTTTTAGCAGGCTCAATATCGGTCACTATTCCTTGTGCAACTCCACGTAAACTAGTCGCAAGTTCATAAGCTTTCATAACGTTATCCCACTTATTCACAGTAGATATTAGTTCAAATTGAACTATAAAGTCTTGCCAACTACCTGTTCCGTCAAACGTAATTGTTTTCTTATTTTTGAAATGGACTGAAGGTTCAGTTATTTGAGGTACACAATTATTGACTGTGTTATCATTTATATTAAAAGTTGGATGGGAGTTTTCACTATAAATTCCATTCCCTACTACTGCATTAGTAGTCCTTCTTACAGGTGGAGTCATGGTGTCTACACATCCGTTTCTGTCCACTCGGACAGTACTGCAACCCTCATCAGCTATGTTGGGAGGTGCCTGCCATAGAGAGTTAGTGCTGGGCCCATAGCACTGGTCACTACTTAGACCGCGGAGATCTGCCTGTTGCCGCCTCCTGTCATTTAGGAGATCAGGGAAAACCTCATTACAAAAACTATCTCCCCTCCATAGGATTCCCGTGATTTGCGACACTCGTCGCCTGAATGACTCTCCAATAAACCCATTAACATGCTTTCCCTCTCCCTTATTTCATTTAGCTCTTGTTTAAGTTTATCTATACTTTTTGTTGAAGTCTGCATTGATTTTTCAGTAGCTCCCGCTTGAGCTCGTGATGTAGTGAATTCATTATCCTTTTCCCTATTAATCCGCATTTGAACCTCCCCTGATGGTGTCAAATCAATAAGACTCCTGTTCATATCCGCGTCTAGGTTCACGGACATTGCGGGAAGCCGTGATCGAACCACAAACGGACTTGCACTATTTTCCTCTTCTTCTAAAACAACAAAACTGGGTTGTCTGACATTTGATTTTGACATATTTATTTATTAAACGGAATTAATTAAATCTATTTTTAAATAGTTATTTGAATTTCGCTTCAGCTTAAGTTCGGAGAGCCCCTTAGAATTTGGGACTCCCCACATTGGCCACCAAATGTAACGTTTTCGCTCTGTGTTGCTATAGCGTTTTCGTTACCCTGCAGTGAAACTATGACCTACTGGCAAAACTAGACAATCCGTCAGACAAACTAATACTCAGCAATAAATACTATTTCAAATGACTGCTCCCTTGGGTCAACTCAACCCGTAATCCAATAGATATAATTAAAGATGCGTTGTTTCAGTAGACAGAAATAACCAATCCGTATAAAGTTAATGATTTAATGAAGTATTATGATCTATTATAGATATGTGATCCAGACAATTTCAATATTAAGTCAAACTATATCTTTTTACATGAGATCAACATACAATAAATAACATTTTAAATAGTATGCAAGCTAGTGAGTAACTCTGGTCAAGTACTATATACACATGTATTTAAATAAACTATCTTAATCACAAGTAATTATAGAAATCTCTATAATTATATAAGCTATGTCGACTTTTCAAATGTATAAGTTGCGACTCCTGATTTTACTGTACTTTTGTGAAGATTCGACTTCGTAATATGTAAAGAATCGTTGGAAACATGTTAATAATAATAATTTCTATACTATTGGTATTTCAAGTAAATAATATAAGAATCACTTTAACTGTAACTTTCTTTGAAGAAAAACTATATTGATGTCTTATTTGAATAGCGACTTTAAGACTCGAGTCTGCGTCGTTGAGTCTCTGTATAAAATATGAAATATCTTTATCTTTCCGACTTTTTGTGTACTTTTCAGTATATAATTTGTAGTCTAATCTTTAGAGTCTCTTATAATATGAAACTTATAAATCTATGTTTTACATAAAGTAAAACTCTGAGAAAATTTTTCCTAACCTTTTAAAGTGCAAGCTTAAATTGTTAGCTACAGTGACGAAAGGATTTTAATATTTAGGCTTGTGATTGTAAGCAACCTTTTGCCACGGTAGTCCGATCACGACTAACGCTTTCAATAGCAGTCCAATATATATACAATGAAAAAGACTCGAAAGACTTCATTTTGACGTCAAAAGCGACTCAAAAGACTCTATTTCAACGTAATATCGCCGTTCACGACAGTGCACTTTGACAGTTTACGGTAAGCGACTCAAGTAAACATGGCGGATATTACAAGGAAAAAGAGAGACTCTGAGTCTCTAGAAACTTGACCAGGTTAACTAATTCACTGAATATAAATATACATAGAGATTAAAACAACATAATACAATCATCAACAAATACATAAAGGTAGGTCAAGAATAAGGAAATCCCGTATTTACACTTTACAAAAAAATAAATGGAAAAGTGACTCAGTTTCAGATGGGACTTGACGTTATTTTTATCTTTGCTCAAGTTACTGTTTATAAAACAATAATAGTAAGTTCTAAATATCTGAGATAACTTATTTAAATGAAAAGAAACATATTCAACAATTTATAAGGTTTTCAATGCGGTTACACGGAGATTTAACTGTTGATAAAAAATAAAAAGGGGGGAGGGGACACATACTGCTGAACAATGAGGACGAAATCCGTTACAATATGTATATAAAAGTTTATCGTCATTTTCGGAGTCATTACTCTTTGCATTCCTGCAATATCTTCTCTCTAGTTACCTGCAATAAACTATACTTATTAGCACATCATTTGTATTTTTCTTTATAGATTCTCGAAAACTGATTGATTTCATATTATAACTTTAATGTTATATAGACATAATAAATATGTGTTGATAATCTTCAATATTTAGTGCAAATGGCTAGTGTAAATAACGTTTTTTTTTAAATATTATAATGTTGTTTTTTATTAATGAAGACACATTGAAATACGGCGTTGAATAAGATCAGGGGCCTGTTTATCGAAGCTGTCCTAGGATTTGTCATAAGACCTCTCTTAGGAATAAATTAGGATAATGTTAGGACCGACTTACGACATGTCTCAGCATGCACATCGAAGCCATCCTAGGACTATCTTAGCTAGGATGTCCTCACCACTGTCCTAAGTTTCAACGTAAAGAAAAATAGGAGTTTTAAATGTTTAAGAATGCATTGAATTTCACCAATAGTAAAAGATTACAAGATTAAAAATTAGAAATATTATTAGAATTATCATAAATAAAATATAATCTAATAATGATATATTCAAACTTCATGAAATAAAACCACAAACACAAAAAATGTAACAACGTTTTTTTTTAATAATAATTGAACACATTATTCATTAACAGCAGTAACAGTGAAAACTAATAAAAGACAATCGGTAACAATCATTATATATTTTTGAGTGAGTTTAATTCTCAGTGTCACGGTTTTATACTTTACATAGTTCAAATGCAAATCTCGTGCATCGTTCATTAAAATACGGAATACGTAAATTATTTCATTACGGATCATATGCACTTGGGTACCCACTTTTTCTGAACTTTTTTAAAGTAAATATTCTTCAATATTTTGATTTATGCCCATTTATTTTATTTGTTTTATATATATATACGATGTCCCTCTATTCTTATGTTTCACGTGAAAAATATGAATAGAGTGGTGTCACATATATACTTCTGTTTTTGTAATATCTTTTGGATAAGAGCAAGAACACATAAAATAAGTCAAAATAGAAAAAAATAATTAGAAAAAAAGGGGATTCATATATAGGTGACGGTCGCTTTTGTTTACAAATTAACCATCATACGATATATCCTAAAGTAAGGACGATTCTAAGACCATCTTAAGACACCTAAGTAGGTGTCCTAAAGTTAGGACGATTCCTATGACTTTTTCTAAGTTACGACATGTTTGATAAACGCACTTAGGACAACGATACGTTCTTAGATGATCTTAAGACATATCCCAGTCCTCAGAGAGCTTCGATAAACAGGCCCCAGGTATCTACAACATCCACACCCAACAAAATATTTGACTCACAACAGTATCTATGTAAACAAAATTTTGGAGTGAAATATATATTCAAGATGACTTAACTAGAACCCCCTTTCTAAGTTTAAGATTTGTCCCTCGTCATCAGTCAGACCTGAGACTACTATAATTCTATAGTGCCATAAAATAAAAAAAAACATCCTTTTTTGCGAAGAATATCGCAAATTTTGACAAACATTTTTTCTGCTGTGATTTTAACGAGCTATATATAGCTGAGGGACGGACAAAAATTTGTTAGCATAAAAATCTAACTCTTACACTGATGGGTTCAATTTTCAGACTTATATATATATAAGTATAAAAAAACATTGTAAAATGTTGTTAAATTCAAGCACTATGTAATTTTGCCATTTCGTAAAAGGATAGCAACCAATATATTTTGACATAGGTAATCAAATTTGAATAGCAACGCAAACATTCATATCGATTATCATTGAAATCCTAGCGAAATAGATATATCTCAAAAATTTTATTTTTTTTGTTAACAAAAAGTAAGTTTTTACCAAAATTTTGGCACCTGCAATCCATTATGAATATCTTTTTATACATGTATATAAATTTGCATTGAAATCCAAAAGCACAACATGAGTTATTTTGTCCTAATTTGTGAACTTTTTAACTATTATGGAAATCTGTTGAGGCAGTATTATTACTATAGGGCACCGCCGATCAGTTCAATATCTAAATGAAATTGGTGTTGCTGTTTATTTACATTAAAACATCGGTAAACTATTGAAGTTGCTGATTTATCTATCGATGACATATACTGCATACCAAACTTTCAGTGTCTGCAGATTATTGAATATAACAACTTTTCAATATTTTTGCCGTTCAATTACCATTTGTATAACAATAAAGAAAATAACTCTTTTATTTCATATAAGCATAAATATTTCATTATGTCTAATTAATACACAGTTCTAAGAAAAAATGTACAAGTAGTATAACACTTGTTTTTTAAATATGTATTTGGTTGCCCCCGACCGCCCAAATTAATAACCTTTTTAGTGGTTGTCTTGCGTTGCATTTTCCAGTTTTGATTTTTTTTATGGTTATTGACGGCAGATTCTTAATTTTTTCTGTAAAATTATTACCTGTTAAACTAAAAATACCCTTTATCAAATAACCAGTATTTTTAACTAATGTCTCCACACTCTCCAACCATCTGAGACAATCGCGGAAGTGACGAATGATTAATGTATCTGTAATATAAACTATACATTATAATTGAACAAAGTTTTATTCTAGTTGTTAATTAAGAATATTATGATCTGAATCTACAGTTAACCTGTAACCAAGCGGTTTACCTCCTTTTCGTAAGATTGAAAATGCACAGAAATGTATATCAGTAATTAAGATAAAGAACAAGTACATTGGAACAAAGTATTAAACTTGGAAGACAGAATGCAGTTTATAATGCAAAAAAAATAAATATTTTCTATGCTTATTTTGATTGATTATCTCGGGTTCCAAGAGTTATTTGTCCATAATGAAAATATTGGTTGTATATATAAGTATTTTAATGCTGGACATCACTTTATATCCAAGAACGTGAAATTCTGTAAGGATGTATAAACAAAATCGTTCAAACTGAAAAGTCCCTATTTTATCAACATAATGTTGATCAAATTGGTAGAAGTCTTATTACATTCAATCAGTCATAGTTTTGTATCATCAATAATGAATGAGCTTATCAATGAAACAATTCAGTTATGCACTTATATTGATATTATAACGTTCATCTGCAAAAATAAATAAACGTAGCTTACCTTTTAAACAAAGATACACTATCACGATCAGTAAAACTACCACTGCTTGTATCCAATTGTCAAGCATGGTCAGCATTCCTCAGCGTTTTACTACCTTCAAATATCGTTTTACTACCTTCAAATATATACAATAGAACTTGAATTACAGATAGCTAATATGAAAAATTTAGACAAAAAAAAATCATCATCTTTAATAAGGAGTATCTTACAACGACGTCAATTACTGAAAATAAAAAAGGCTTATTTCATATAAACACGTATGTGGTTTTGAACAATGCAACGCCACGTGGTTAAAAAACAATAACTTGTTCAAATATGGATATCATCATGATCATATTTAAAAAATAAACATTTTATATTTATCTCCCACTTTTGTTTTTGTAGAGAATTCTGGAAATTGAATAAAGAATTAAAATAATTATCATCATCTAGAAGTTCTTTATTACAGTTTGATGGTGTTTAATAACTACTGCTTTTAACAAATTGAAATTAATAAATAAAACTCACTTTACAATTTTCGGACTAGTTCATGTTAAACTACATGTTGATAAAATCTTATATATTGGAAGCTTTTTTCTGGAAGATGTATTAAAAAAACCTATACTTTTTTTATTTATGCAATTAAAACAGGTGATTAAATTATTACTGTAGATCATGATTTGAATTAGTATAAACACTTTAAAACACTATAAGGTTACGTTACATCTATCAAATAAAATATAACTAGATAAAATTAATTTATAAAAATGAATGAAATAGAATGTAAAAAAAAAAATCAATAACAAAAAGTAAAATAACAAAAATACCGAACTCCGAGGAAAATTCAAAACTTTGAATTAAGATTTTGAAATTAAGTAAGAAGACAATCAAACCAATAGTCGGGAATATACCTGTTTATCTAAGTAAAAACGCCACGCTGTGTTCGCACAGTTAATGCACGATTCAACTTTAACTTAAAATAAGAAACTCTTGATACTAATAAAAGATGTCTTATATAAAATTGACAACAATAACTAAGTGTTGGTCAGTCGGTTGCGGTTGCTGTGTCACAGAAAGAGAGAAGTTTCAGTTATGGGTATTTATATTCATCATAAATCACTTACCCATATTCATATATGAAATCTCTTCTTTCTTATTATCTAAAAATTCCAGGTATAACTGCATGAAAGGGCCAGGACAAATTAAAAATTCGTTGTAATTTAACGTTAATCATATAAATTGTGTAAGTTCCTTATTTTGTTTTCAGTATTAAAATTTAGGATTCATGATTTCCTAAGGGTTTGCAAAGAGAGTATTAGAGAATCTGGATCTGTATCTGGACTTTGATATTTATCACGCAGCATGATGATTTTATTTTTTTTTTATTTTTCTATTCATTAGGGAACCAAAATTACTGTGAGTTAAAATGAACAATTCCTAATAACAATTTCAAAATTTTGCATTTTTATTATAATTTTCTTTCAAACGGAGAATCTTACAAAGTCGATTTCCAAAAAATAAGAAAATCCCGTTTCTAATAATAGTTGTCATGTAATTTTAACAAAGAAAAATCAAGTGGTTAGCTATGCAAATGTTGATATTAGACTTTATCGTATACTTATAGAAAATAATGGTATAATTGTACCCCATGATAAAACTAATTTGTACATATATTTATTCATTAAATTTGAAGAATTGTCTTAGCCGTGTGATATCACTTTTGTTATCAACTGCTTCCGGTTTATATCAACTGCTTCCGGAAAATACGCCTCAATGGTACGTTTTTAGTGAAAAACATAACTAAGATGGATAAAAAAAAATATTAGGAATCAGGAAAATATATTATTACAAAATGCAAAACAAATAATACAATAAATGCATTTTTCAAAGTTTTAAAAATAGTTCTTGTCTGTATGTGATAAAAAGAACATAACATGTCATTTTTCATATCACACCCCTTATCAGCCCATGGTCAAAATTATCAAAATTATCCCTCGAGCCTGTCGGCTCTCGGGCTGATAAGGGGTCTGATATGAAAAATGCCAGGTTTTAATATATATTTATCACATACTTTATAAACATTATTCACTTTTGTTTTAATCGATAATTCTGGATATTAAATATAGAAGGATAATAAAGAACCTCTAGATGATAATAATTCACGAGAAGGGTTTGATGGTGATTAATAATTGACCAAAAATAAATCGAAGAACATGAAAGCACCGGCCTGGTACACGTATCATTTTATACCAATATAGTCAGACCTCCATACAAATTAATATTTTCACTTTAAGGTTAAAACTTTCAAATCAAGTCGAAAAGGAAAATAATAATACAAAAGTTGATTTACATAGATATCATGGATATTGAATTAAAAAAAACTAGTTTCAGACCCTTATAAAATTGAGATTTAAGGTTAAATCTATCAAATCAAATAAAAGAAAAGAAAAGAAATTAAAACACTTAGTCTAATAATTAACATATATATCGAAACAAAACAAAAGGATTTTCAGTATTTTTTGTACCCAAATGGTAGGGAATTCATTTAAATTATTATCAACACTTAACAGTTAAATCTATCAATTTGAATACAACAAGGGAAAAATTAATGAAAATACATAAAAATATGTTGCAGCAAAAGTTTCCGTCATTATATTCATTTGGTGGGACAATCATATAGATTAATATATGCACTTTTAAGTTAAATCTATTAAACTAAATACAAGAACGAATAAAAAAATTAATTAACAAAACATAATTTACATTGATATCAAAGCAAAATAAACTTAGTTTCAGTCACAAATTTAAGGTTAAATCTATCAAATTAGATAAAAAAAAAATGAAAATTGATAAACAAAATTAATTTACATGATATTGAAACACAATAAAATTAGTTTCAGTCACATATTAGATTTAGATTAAACGAAGTCATAGTCGAACTAAATTAAAATGACAATAAAACCAAATATCGGGAATATAACAGTTGGTTAGAAAGAAAAAAAAAAAACACACGACGCAGTCTTCCGAAAAAAGCCTGTTCAATTCGGGGATATGACAATTGTTTTCTATTCGTTCCGTTGGTTGATATAGTCTAACGTTTGTTTTTGACAGTTTTAATGGACGTCCTCTTTTTGAATTTCCCTTGGAATTCTGTATTTTTGTTTATACTGAATTTTTTTGGTCGTAGAGTTACTGTACGTTTCAACTTAAGCTCAGAATAAGAAAAATTTAAAACTACAAAAAAGATGTATAATATAAAGTTTACAACTACCTGTAGGTCGGTCAGGCGATTGTGTAAGAAAGAAAAAGATACCAAGTCTATCTCATATATTGATATATTATCTGTCTTCTTTCTTTTTACCTTTCGCGTTCATGTGTAATTGCAAGATATGGTCAAGACAAATTTAAACTTCGCTGTGATTTAGCGTCAATAAAACGTTTTTTTGTAGTGTCCCTATTTTTATAACTAAATTTGGGATTGGGTGTTTTCCTTGAATTTATCAAGAATTGCATTACAGAAACGGTATCTGTATTTGAACTTTGACATTTATCACTCACCAAGATGAACTTTTATATCTATAACATAGAACATTGAGGATCAAGCATAACTGTGAGTTAAATTGATTGATTGATGGTTGCTTAATGTCCAGTGGGAGTTAAATTGAAAGTTCAATTGAAACAAAAACAAAATTCATTTTTTTTTAAATACGGATAATGTTACAAAGTCGCTTTGTGAAAAAATAAGGCAGTCCTATATGTAATGATAAAACTGTTGTGCTTTTTAACAATGCAACATCACGTGGTTAGAAAATGATAACTTGCTTGAATTATTGATATCAGACATTATTTTTTCTATCACTTTTTTTTATAAGAAAATTCTGAAAATTGTATATAGAAAGATGGATAATATTGATGAACATGTAGTTGATTATAATTCATGAGAAGGATTTGATGTTGAATAATAACTAAACAAAAATAAAACCACCCTCCTGGTACATATATAATTTTTTTATACCTATGTGGTAGGCCATTCATACAAATCAATACAAACACTTGAAGGTTAATTCTATCAACTAAATACAATAAACAGCTGCGCGATGAGCGCATGATACGCCCGTCCTTTTTTCAAATTATAAAGTTCAATAACTTCTCAATTTCATATCAGAAATATATATAAAAAAACTAAAGGGAGGTTATTTTAATAGATATAAACCAGTCACCAAAGTTTCATGAAAACTGCACATAGCACTTTTAAGCTATTGTCCGAAAACTGGAAAATCACCCCCTTTTTATGAATAAAATCCCATAACTCGGAAACGTAAGATCTAAAATTTATAAAAATCGAAAGGGAGTTTACCTCAATGAGTATAAACAATGCATCAAAGTTTCATAAAATCTGATCAAAGCATTTTTGAGTTATTGTCTGAAAACTGGAAAATCCCCCTTTTTAATTGTATAAACCCCATAACTGGAAAAAGTAAAATCTAAAATTTATAAAAATCGAAAGGAGCTCATGTCAATAGATATAAACATTTCACCAAAATTTCTTGCAAATTGGTGAAAGTGTTTTTGATTTATTGTCCGAAAACGGAAAATCCCCCTTTTTAATGAATAAACCCCCATAACTCGAAAACGTAAAATCTGAAATATATAAAAATCGAAAGGGAGCTCATGTCAATAGGTATAAATAATTCACCAAAGTTTCATTCAAATTGGTAAAAGCGTTTTTGAGTTATTGTCCGACATGTTGACTACTGATGGACAGACGGATGGACGGACAACAGTACACCATGATACGTCCAGTAAGCGGGCGTAGAAAAAGGAAAATAAATTAAAAAAAAAACCAATTAATTTGTCTAGATATTGAGACATAGTCAAATTAGTTTCAATCATAAATCAAATAAAAAATTTATTTAGCGATAGTCGCTCTAAATTAAAAAAACAATGAAAACCAAATATCGGGAATAAAAATGTTGGTTTGAAAAAAAAAAACACCACGATGCAGCCTTTATAAAGTCTATGTACGATTCAACTTGAACTCAGAATTACAAACATTTGATATTTAAGATAAAGGTCTTAATATAAAATTAACTACAATCATTTCCTGTTGTTCAGTAGGATTTGTGTGTC